ACCTAGTCGAGTGTTTTGCTCTCAGTGAGGGAGGGACGAGTAGTTTTGCAGATGCAGAGCGGAGAGTGCGGGTTGGGATGTAGGGTTTGACCATGTCCTGGATGTAAGCTGGACCCGATCCATTCACAGCATGGTACGTGAGCACCAGTGTTTTGAACTGGATGCGGGCGGCCACCGGTAGCCAGTGAAGACTTTGGACTTATAATGGTTCTTATCTACAGCAAGTTGTAAAGTGGCTTATTTGATGAAATTGCACTTTGTTGTTTCCTGTTCTTCTGGGTTTGTGTCCTTATGGTTGAAACGCTCTTATTGTAAGTGGCTTTGGATAAAAGCGTCAGCTAAATGACATGTAATGATTTAAAAGATGAACATTAGCACTCGTCTTCCAGCAGATGGAGCTGTGCTGTTTCTCCTCTTCATCTCCTTCAGAGTCCAGAAGTCAGTAAAACAGTCCAGTATCACATGACATGTGTCATGGTCAAATATGTCAGAACATAATGATCACTTTTAGCATAAGATTGTCTATATTGAAGCTTGACGTGTGAAAAGCAGAATGACCCAACGTTTCCATTTGCAGCGGAGTCTAGAGAAAGGAGGGCGAGTCAACTTGCTCTCACACAAACGCTGGAACAAAGGAACTGTCTGTTACTTCATCTCAACCTTCATATCTCACTTCGCAATTTGTCATACTGGCCACTGGAGACGACCTTCATGTGTGTGTATAAAAGCTCAGCGCTGCTCGGAGACGCGTCTCCACAGAGCTCTGTAATACGTGCGCGTGTATTTGACCTCCTGCTAGCAAGAAATCAATTGACTTTTACAACTTTGATCATTCATCAAGACTTTGTTTTTATTAGATAACCATAGAAATAAATGATTCTCTTCTCCCGAACTAGTTACAATGAAATATTCCACAAGAGTGTTGCTCGGTGTACCGGTACTAGAAATACTAGCGACGTGTCGGTCGCCAACGAACCGGCTCTGAGAGCGACTCTTTGACGCGAACGACGGGAGCCGCTTTGTTTCTCTCTCTCTCAAGCCGCATTTGATTGGTCAATATGTGTGGGGGCGTGTCTCTCTCAAGCCGCATTTGATTGGTCAATATGTGTGGGGGCGTGTCTCTCTCTCAAGCCGCATTTGATTGGCCAATATGTGTGGGGGCGTGTCTGCGCTGAGCACAGGGCGGAGGGGCGGGACTTACACACACAGCAGCAGCGAACAGGAGGGAGGAGTCAAGAGAGAAACAGAGCGGTAAAAAAAAGAGAGTGAGTGTCAACAGGAAACGCAGCAAAATCTGGACACATGTCAATGACATTGATCCATCTAATGCAGAATGTAGAGTCTGCAAGACTAAAATCTCTATCTTCTCCAAAACAGGGCAGATAATTTCAGAGAGAAGAAACAGGATCAGCCTCTCAAAGCGGAGCCACTTGGTCTCAATGTAAATCTTCCCTGAAGGACAAAACTCTGCATGCTGATTTTTTTTCTTTTTGTTTTACACATTTTAATTTATATGTTGTTGTGTGATTCTGTAAGCTTCTGTATGTTGTTTCACTTTAAATTTGTTAAGTATTAAAAAGTTTAAAATAATTAAAAGTTAGTTAAGTTCATTTTTAAATAGTTAAACGTTTGTTTTTGCACCAATTCATTTTTTTATCACTCTGTAGAGTGTATAAATAAAAGTATTTATATAAAAACATTTGACAGTGTTTTTTTTACATTAGTAATTCATATTGCGCATAATTTTACATTATTGTTGGTGATAAATTAATTTAAGCACCAAAAAAATCAGAAGAGCCATTTGGGAGCCGAAAGAGCCGGTTCTCTAAAAAGAGGCGTAATTCCCATGACTACCGGGTAAAAGAGGACGTCTGCTTTGTCTCAGACTTCTGGCCCTGATCTGCTTAGAGGGCGTGGCATCACGTGAGGGGCGTGTCCTCAACTGTGTTGCTTTCAGGAAACGTCGGCACTGTGAGAACTATGAATCCACACTTTCTATCCACCATATTCACATTTCAACTTTGATAAACACGACCTTTTTAAACAGATGTGAGGAAAGAGAAGAACGTTTATTCTCACAGAACCAAAACACGTGATGGTGGGCTCGACATGTGGACCTAAAACCGGACCAGAACCAGTACCGGAAACCATTATTTAGGGTATATCATGATAAAATACATCAACGCATTATCTTTTTTTTATTCGGCAGAGTCCTGACTACAATAAGCTGGAATCCACATTAAAATACTCCAAACACACCTTTAGCTGGTGGGGAAGAGTCACATATGACGTGCAGGTTTGTCCACAACCTTTGGACCGAGTGGGACATTTTGTCGGTGCTTGAAGCTCGCGGACGTTGGAGCCAAAGAACAGCAGCGAATCGGTGGATTATGAATCATTGAGTGAGACAAAGCCTGCAGAGTTACTGTGAAACACACAGCGAGCCAGCAAAGACACACACACACACACACACACACGTCTTACCTCTGCCGCTTCTCACGGGAATTATGGATTTAATCTGCTGTTTCTGCAGTGAGGAAAGTCCCCGAGCCGCTTCACTTCCTGCTTTATGTGTGAGACGTGAAACCGCCTCTTTCTCATGAAGAGTGGAAGTTATGTTGACTTCTTGAGGTGTGCGCATGCGCAGGCTCCCTGGTCGTTTGGTGCAGTGACGTCATGAACCCTGTCGGTGTCTTCTTGTCAAAGCGACCAGCGACCTTATCTGGTTTCACTGGAGACTTTTGTGGCGTCTGACGTGAAAGCTCGTGTTGTTCTGCAGTTTCTGTCCTCAGAGTCTCACAGGAAGTCCGCATCTGGCCGAGAACGGTCATACTACCCGGATGTGACTCGCCCCGCCCATTTCACCCACAATGCATCGCGGCAGGCTTGTCCGCTCTTGTAAACGCGACAAATATCCCAGAATGCATTTCACCTCAGCAACAGGCAGCGACGCCAGAGGGAAATAATACAACGTTATATTTAATCCACGTGATGTGACTTTGGGACTTTTCAGGCAGCGAGTCAGTTGTTTGAGCGACTCGTCTGTAGTCAGTTTGTCCACATTGAGAACTATGACCTCCAGCAGGTGGGAGATGTGACGCGCGGCTCCAGACGGACCGTCTACCAGCTTACTGGTGCGTCTTCATTCAGCCGCACACACGTTCTCCCTCGCGCCGCCTTTAACGACACAATTTCACGGTCATTTGTTGATCACGCGCCATATTCATTCATATATATATACTATGTAAATCATTTAAAACAAGCATGAGGTGTCGGTGAATAATACAGCTTATAGTTGAAGCACAATTATACTGTATATTAAAATCTAATGAAAAATGTTTAAAGTGCTTCACTGCTGCCAAAGTAAAACATTTTACCCAAATGACACATTTCAAAGTGCTTCCCTGAGCTGAGAGCTAACATCTCATGTCTTACTGCAGGTCCCCCCTTGCTGTCTGGGTTCAATGTGTCGGCTATTAACACAATAAATTGGGCGCGTGCAACGTCACTGCTGTGCGTCGGTTTTTCTCCATGAGAACTATTTCTGGTCTAAACTGTGATTGAGCTGTTGAGGTGAATGAATGCATGTAGTTCTATTTGTTCAGCCTTATATGTCATTGAGTCACGTGTGACTGAACTTTACCACTAAAATAAACCTCGTGTTTGGGCCCATTGACCCGAGTCGGATGGTTCCCCGCGTTTCTGCACAGACCGACGTAAGTGAAGGCCGTCACGTAGCAGAGCCGTTTCCGTGGCCTCGTATGGAGGACGGTGCAGACCGTATGGGTGCAGCTACCTACGTCACAACGCTGGACCTGCTGAAGGGACACTGGCAGGTCCCTCTTACGTCCAGAGCTTCTGACGTCTCTGCTTCTGTCCCACCTGATGCCTTTTGGCTGCGCAAGGCCTCAGACACTTCTCAGAGACTCATGAACCTGCTACTGGCTCGGCCAAAACTGCTCAAACACGACATAGAAACATATTCTAATATATTAAAATATCTGGTTGAGCATCAGACACGTCAATAACTGGACAAATGAAAACAACGGGACACAACTACTTGTAAAGGTCATTTAAGTTGAAACATATTACCTACACAAAAATAAGTGAATGAACTGAAGACCGCAGATCTCTCACAAACGTGCTGATCAAGAGTCGTGATTCTGGTCCCTCATGCGTCAGGCTTCATTCAGTGATTGAAACTGAAGGTTTCACAGTACCGACATCGAACGCTCCGAGCAAGCTGTGCTGTAATGGTAGTGGTCTACTCCTCCTGCTGGACCGACCACATAGATACCCCAACAACTGTGTTTGCCAAGCCAGCTCAAGCATCGCTGACTTGAACCTGGCAGAATGGGAGTTTGGAAAGGCTGTGGTGACCTATGTGGGCAAGTGCGCCCTGTGACGGCAGGTGCTCTCCTGTCCTACCCGGCACCCTCCACCACACGGGAACTCCGGCGGTTTCTAGGACTGGTCGGGTATTACCGACATGTTTCTGTGCTAGTAGCACCTCTCACTCGTCTGTGGGTGCAAAGCAACGTCTTGCATGGACGTCGGACTGTCAACATGCCAGAACCTCCCCTCTGCAGCGCTCCGGTACTGACTTCACCAAACCCTTCAACATCCAGGTGGACGCAAGTGCTGCTGGAGCTGATGACATCAGCCATCCAGTCTCGTACCACTCGGTCAAGTTTCACAATATTCTAATTTGAGATGTAGAATTTGGGGTTTTCATGAGCTGTATGCCATAATCATCCAAAATGATATCAAATAAAGGCTTGAAATATCCCACTTTGCTTGTAATACGTCTATATATTAGTTTCACCTTTTAAGTTGAATTACTGAAAGCAATGAGCTTTGATATTCTAATTTTTCAAGTTTCACCTGTATTTGTCAAGAAAAACCAAAATGTGACAAAGCACAAAATACAAGACAACAGATTGAAAAATGAATGGAATAAAAGATCTTCTATCAGGAGACAGATGATAACAGATGATAACTGTAAAAAGGTCCCTGGTCCTTTAACGTAGATGAATAAACGCAACCCAATCAACCACCTGTCCCCCCCAACGGTCAACGTCCTCTAACGTTTGTGGTGCCGTCAAATCAACCTGCTCCAGGTGGCACCAGGTGTACGGGTGACACCCATTACGACAGACCCCTCCCCCCTTTACTTGGTCCAACCCGATGATGTCACCGCTGACACCCTCCCCTGTATAAACGGAACGGACTCCCGACTCACGGGACCAGGAGAACGGTCATTGCCACAAGAGCAGCCGACTCGATGGCGTCGCCACGTCAGCTTGACTGAGCCCAGAGGCCGGCGCAGCCCCCCCTCTGTGGGTCAGGCACGCTGATGATGCCCCCGGTACCTCCTGCTGTCCTACAGAGAAGGTCCTCTTCAGGTGAACACCCCCAACAACAACGGACGCCACAGATTCTTTATTTGGATTCATAGGACAATATTCAATTGGGTTTACGATAAATAACCATTTATGGCAGTTTGGGTTCGTGGATTAGGGTAATAAATGGTTCTGGTTTAGCCAGATGATCTTCACACATGAACAGAACCTGTAGCAGGACACACGAGGACAAGGACTCCTCGTCTCTGATTGGACTCTAACTGAAGGTCTTATTGGGTCTCTCGCACGCGGCCTGAGAGCAGCGATGTGTCACCACCACCAGGTCCAAAACCACAGGAAGCGCTGCGTTGACCCGGGGCGGGTCCTCCTGCATGGTTCCTGGTTAGATGTCGCCTTACACGCAGTCCACGAGGGCTCGAGGTGCTAGGAGACGAGCAGCCGGAGCAGCCGGGCCACCACCACCACGTTGAGGCTGTTTCCCAGAACTCTGTACTGCTGCTTGGTGCTGATCTGCTGCGGGAAGGCTGCAGGACAACCAGAAGATCCAATTCACCTGGAGGAGAACCGCTTCCCTGCTTCTGCACATCAGTCATCCCGCCTTTAGTCCCGCCTACTTTCCTATTCTCCACCTTTACCATCAGAAGCATTAAACTCTCTGCTGAACAACACGACTCCTTTAGGGTCACACACACACACACACAAACACACACACACACACACACACACACACACCCATCTACACACACGCACACACACGCGCGCAGCAGGGAGTCACTCACAGAAGCTCTGAGGGAAGCCCATGAGGTTGGCCACCTCTCGGGGGCTGAAGTAACGCAGCTTGAGCTTCAGCAGCTGCTGGAGTTTGTCGTCTTCAGACATCTGGTCCAGACCTGCAAACACGCTCTCCATCTGGAGGACGCACAGCAGAAGAGCTTCTGCTCTGATGATGTCACCCAGGAGGTCGTGAAGCACGTTCTCACCATGAAGCAAGCACACACCTTCTTTCCTTCATCTACGCCCAATACCCTCCATGACAAACCTACCTCCGTCTCCACGCAGCACTGCAGCACTGAGCCCGTCCCCTCCACGTAGCGGCCGTAGCTACGGAGAGAAGACATGACACCATCACTAAGGACTCGTCCTCACAGCGTCCTCCAACGGTAGTCCAAACAACAACCCGACTGTGGGGTAAAGGGGGTCCTTACCCTTTAGTGAAGCACACGGAAGTCCTGCAGGTGGGCTGAACGATGTCCAGCAGCAGGGAATATCTCAGCAGGGTGCCGGGGGGCAGGAGGTAGTGCTCCATGTTCACGTCCCCTGGCGGTTCCAGGAAGTCCCGGATGCGCCTGACGGACAGGTCCTGGTTCTGACTGGTCTTCCGCTGGGCCTCCCTCTCGGTCTCTTGCTTATAGAGGACATGACCCCCCTGCGTGTCCTCGTCTGGCCGGCCCGTAGCTGCACTGGGAGGACTGGAGACGACGGTGTGCTGGTGAGGAGAAGCACCAGCAGGATGTGGGAAGGCCTCTGGAATCTGAGACCACATGAACACCACCAGTCCTGTGAGGTCCTGACCTCCAAACACTTTGGGACGCGCAGGCTAAGGGGACGTGCAGGCCGAGGGGACGCGCAGATGAGGGGACGCGCAGGCTGAGGGGACGCGCAGGCCGAGGGGACGCGCAGGCCGAGGGGACGTGCAGATGAGGGGACGCGCAGGCCGAGGGGACGCGCAGGCTGAGGGGACGCGCAGGCTGAGGGGACGCGCAGGCCGAGGGGACGCGCAGGCTGAGGGGACGTGCAAGATGACGTGCAGGCTGAGGGGACATGCAGGCTGAGGGGACGTGCAAGATGACGCGCAGGCCGAGGGGACGCGCAGGCTGAGGGGACGCGCAGGCCGAGGGGACGCGCAGGCCGAGGGGACGCGCAGGCCGAGGGGACGTGCAGATGAGGGGACGCGCAGGCCGAGGGGACGCGCAGGCTGAGGGGACGTGGCTTCTGCCCAACTTCTCCAGGGTTGGAGATGGTGCAGAGCGACCATTAGTGTCTTTGTGTGTCCTCAGAGCCCTGTTGGGTCAGCTGGTTTATTCCCTTAGATGATGCCAGGACTCACCTTTGAACTCTGGCTGCTTTCGTTAGCTGTTGATAACTTAGCAGTCAGGAAATAGCGCAGCCTGGAATTTGGGATCCCGACCTGGATTGATGGACAGAACAGTGAGACAAGCACAACTCGTAGGGCGGGTGCATCCCAGGACGCCGCCGGTCTTTCTTACACTTGTGGGTGAGATCATGGTTTCCTGGAAAGTGTAGCCGCATTCCACGAGTGTCTCCACCAGGCGCTGCCTAGAGAGCACACGCAACACGAGGTGAGACCACGCGTTCCCGCACTGAGAGCAGCAGAACACGTGAACGAGACCAAGCAGTCAAGTGTCTTCTGCGTGCACGCTGTCCCCCCCCCCCCTGGTTACCTGGCAGAGGACACCTCGAAGCCCTTCACATTCTCCAGCAGGATGAAGCGGGGCCGCCGGCACAGCCTGGAGAGGAGGGCGGGTTACGGACTCAGAGGATCGCATACATCCTCCCTGCGCACAAACACTACTGAAGACTTATGACGCCGCCTCACATTGCTAACTGAAGAGCTTTAATAAAGACCGGATGAAAGCGGTTTATTTTGGGTGCACACAAGGTGACCTGCTCCACCTGTTCCATAGGGTGAAATAAATGATGTTCTATGCAAAGGTCAATGAGGTACTTTCACCCAAAGACGTCGTCTTCTGTTCTTTAAATAGCTTCTGTTCAGGCTGAAATCAGGGCTTCATGTTTCATGTGCAGACTAAACACCTGGGCAGGAGGTGGAGGATGTGCAGGAAGCTCTTGGTTCTGGAGTCGGCGATGTCCCCCTGAAGTCCGACCCTAAAGAACACAAACAAAGTCATTCACCTTCGAGCGCTTGTCGGGGTCAGGGGTCAGGGGGGGCAACAGTTGCATCAGGGACCCCAAAGTCAAAGAGACGTCCCTGTAACTGGGCTCTATACATCTCCATCTGCTCTGTTGCTTACAGTACATCAGTGTTGGTCGCTTCCAACGGATTGTCTAAATGTTTGAGTCGTGGTGATGCTGTAATTCACACCTCAATAAGTTCTGCTTCCTGTCACCCTGTTCTCTCTGAACGCTCTTAACTAGTGCGAAAGACTCACGGCACGGTTTCAGACCGGCCTTTGCCTTAAACTAATGAAAACTAATTATCTGACTGCATATTCCTCCAGTGATGACATGAATCCCTATCATCACCATTCCAAGTCATATCTCTATCATTCAGTGACTCAATGAAGGAGTCCTTTGAGTCAGAGATCAAGTATCATCTGAGACATATACACTATCTTCTTCTTACTGTTGGTTTTTAACACAGAACGTTGAAGTAAGGATCAGACAGGGTAAACGCTGTTACTCATCCATTCATAAGAGAGTAACGGTGACGTTGTGTGACTGCTAAACAAGGAGACGTACCTGGTGAAAGGCTGGCATGGGGGGCTCATCACAATCATGTCGACGGGTAATTTATCAAAGTCATCTAGAGTTATGCCCTGAAGATACACAAAGGGAACACGTTGCAGAGGGAAACGTGATTATCTGTGAATAGAGTCAGTATATTGAGAGGATGTTGGTCTGACGCTCCGGTCGACTGGTCCCCCCAGACAGCACCCACCTCAATGGTCTTGTTCCAGAGGGTGGTGTCGGGGAAGTTGTGCCTGTAGATTTGATTGGCCGTCGTGTTGACGTCGATGGCAGCCACCACCTGGGCAGGTATGCCGCTCTCTAGAGGAAGATAAACATGTTAGCCGCTCTCTAGAGGAAGAGAAACACGTCAGGCGCTCTCTAGAGGAAGATAAACATGTTAGCCGCTAAACATGTTAGCCTCTCTCTAGAGGAAGATAAACATGTTAGCCGCTCTCTAGAGGAAGATAAACATGTTAGCCGCTAAACACGTCAGCCGCTCTCTGGAGGAAGATAAACATGTTAGCCGCTAAACATGTTAGCCGCTCTCTAGAGGAAGATGAACATGTTAGCCGCTAAACATGTTAGCCGCTCTCTAGAGGAAGATAAACATGTTAGCCGCTAAACATGTTAGCCGCTCTCTAGAGGAAGATAAACATGTTAGCCGCTAAACACGTTAGCCGCTCTCTGGAGGAAGATATCCCATCATAAGGGGTCATCAGTAGTGTCCCCTCATGATGGGGACCCTACTGTCCAATGCTAAATGGACCATCTACTGAAAGCTCTCTACACTACATGCTATCATTCACCCCCTGGGGGGAGGAGCCACATGCTAGGGGTCACCTGGCCATCAGGTGTGTTAACCCACACGCCTTGGAAGGACTTCCTGCCTGTGCAAAGGTGCAGAATCAGAATCAGTAGAGCAGAGAAAAGAGGACAAGAGGACAGGCATAACGTCCTCTGGAAATGGCGTCTCCAGTAAAGACGACGCGGCAGTCACTGACCCTTTAGTCGGTATTGAGCGGGAGATCTACTGCGGTGAGGCAGACGCGCGGTGGGCGTGGCCTGACGGGCTACGCGTCGGTCAACCAGGAAATAAACATGGATTTTACGGCATCTTCGCAAACAGCGGTCTGCGGTCCCGCGAGGCCACGCCCACCACACACCGCGTCACCCACGCCACAACGACGCGGTGGCTCCAACGAGCGGGAGGTGTCGCTCAGCGTCTCCGTCCCGGCGGCCCGAGCCGGAGCGTTTCCCGGCGGCCTCCGGGGCGGCGGACGAAGGCACGAGGCTCACCTTGCAGCGCGTAGTGCATGCCTCCTATCCCGCTGTAGAGCTCCAACACCCGCAGCCGCTCCATGGCTCCACGAGGACCGCTCTTCTTCTGCCCCGCGGCGCAGGGACACGCACCGCCCCCTGCTGGCGCGGCGCAGACATGCATGTAAAGGCTGGCTGCGCTGCGTCCGCACATGGCGGCCATCTTGGTGCAGTCAGCTCGCTCACCCATCACACTGTGTTGGTTGTGGTACGCGTACTTTTTAAATATCCATAACTTGCTCAATTGTAATCGATTTCTAAATGAATAGTATACAGTGTCATAACTACACCTCTGACGTTTATAACAAACCAAACCGTTTAGTAATAATAACGGTCAGTTATTATTATTTAAAGTACATGGACCACTACCAACACTATGTTATGTGTGAGCTGCCTGAACATCACCAGGGGCCTCATTTATAAAAGCTTGCGTAGGATTTGCTCCAGAAGTGTCGTACGGATGAAACGTAGGACGTGCGTACGCACAGAAACATTAAGACTTATAAAACGTCCTACGCAGTTTTCCCTTAATAAATCACA